CTTTCCGATATTTCATAAAACCAAGAAAAACTAGAAATTTTACTAGGGTTCCGTGTTTATTTCGATAACAAAAGGCGAAAATCCCTTGCCAAATAATCAACAACAAGAACGTCATAGGTTATTGAACTTAGTGAACTTTACTATACCTCTAAACGTTATCTTCTTCATCCTACTTCGACCACAGTATGCACAAGCTAGAGCACAAGGCGAGTGATCCGAAAGACTGAACAAAGAAGTCCCAGAAATTCAATATCTATATGAATGTATAAACGTCAACACTTTTTACACTGCACCTTCATAAATACGTTCTCAAAGAAGGCTAAAAAACCTGCATAAAGTACGGTATATGAGTGACTCGACAGAAATTTCCTGGTGTAATTTGGGTGTATCAACCGCAATAAGAATTATTCATCCATCTCTATAAACATGATTTGACATCACCACTGGCGGAGCTGGATTCTAAAGAGACCAGGGTATTTTTAGACTGCTATGGAAGGTTAAACACATCATGGACATAATTTTTACAGAATCCGTTATCCCAGTCTCCACGCTGTGATCACTTGAATATCAAATATCTTCGGCTTCCTAAATAAAAACGACATTGATACGTCTACGTAACTATACTGAATCCACTTCGGGCTGCTGAAGAAACTCATACTTTCCATTTCTAACTCTTTAGCAACATATTTAAACTTAGGCCTGGAGACTGCAAGAAACTATGAAGTTTCACTGAAGGTCGCGTTTGTTCAATATTGTTTCCAATTTCCGTGTGCGTAGAGCTACTGTTCCTCTTACCACTAGTGATGATAAACCCTGCAGCTCTGATTTTACCAACTTGAGTGTATATAATAATCATTTATCTTTACTCACCATGTCGAAAGGTAATTTCCATATTCAGAAGCGATTATATGCCTCTCTTGGTTCATTCCATGACGCAGGCAATCTAGAGTCATACCTAAGTCCAGAATCAAATGAAGTTTTTTTAACCTTGGATAAGTTTGAAAATAAATTCCAGCCAAAACAAACTTATGGTACACGTGACACTTGTTGATAAATCTGGAGGGACTTGTATTCAGGAAGTAATTGAAGCAGCAGAATGAAACTCAGAATCATTGTGAGACAAAAGTTTCTAACGAATCAACTTCTTATCAGATTTGTCATGTTATTTCACTAGATATGGGTTATCCTAATAAACATGTATATTTCTGATGGTATGTCTCATAAAAACAAGCGAACTATGTCGAATGAATCAAATCATGATAAGAAATTTTATGCAATTTCGATAGATACTGATTTCTCTAATGATCTATTATTCTACAGTGACATTCTTAGTTGATTCGAGGAAAATATTTCAAAAGTATCAAATCCTGATGATACCATGCCAAATGTTATTTATCTTTATGATGCAGTGGTAAATAAATCCCCAAAATAAATAGCTCTGTGAGTTTTCGACATTGGATGCTGACCACATGTTTTAATGGACTCACCTAGCTGAAGGCGCTCGGTCATGCACCCGCACCAGATCACGAGTGGGAACTCCGTAATCAAAAACCCCTGTAATCGCTAGCCATACTAGATAAGACGATCCTCAATATATTAATTGCCTATCAAATATATCTTCGAACCTCCTCGTTTTTGTCTTTTGATTTCACTTGGTGAGTACGATTCATATTAAATGTTTCCAAATTCAAATATTTGTGGCATCTTCACTGGTGAGCCCGACGTGATCTGGTACACCAAACTGCAAACTGTGAGTCTGTTCCTTTTAGGGATTTTATATATCATTACCTTATTTTAATTTTTATACATTGTGATATTTTTTCCTGTGTTCTTGGATATATATTTTTTCACTCGTTCATTCTCGTATTTGATATTTCACCATGACTGAACAGAAATGCGAAATACTTCAGTTAAAGGCTATGTCCCCAACTTCGTTCCAACTAATGCCCTTCTGGCCAGACAACATCGGGGCCTGGTTCTGCAGCACAGAAGCCGACTTCTACGAGCACGGCGTGAACGACACACGTGCACAATTCCTCGCAGTAGTCAAGACACAACCGCGCGGATTCAACAGGTACGTAACACCTAGCATTTTTACTAGTGATGATTCGGAACCCTACGAAACACTGAAACGATCTGTTATTAAACGCGGAGACCTAACCGATCGACAAAGGTTAGACTAACTCCTTAATAACATCGACTTGCAACACGGTTTTGCGACAGACATGTTGCAAAGAATGAAAGAGGTTATCGGCCAAAGAACCTTCGATGATGGCCTATTCAAACAAATTTTCTTATCCAGACTTCCTTAACAAGTGCAAGCTGTACTGGTCTCGTTTCAAAACAACACCTTAGACGAGCTGGTTGTATCTGCCAATCGCAACTTAGAAATCACGAAATCCTCAAACGCCGAGGTTTTCTCAGTCAAAGAAAAGCCTCAAACGACCCAGGATGACATAACAGAGTTATGTCATACACTTACACGTTATCTCAAATTTCGTATTGACCCCTGTAATCGCTAGCCAGACCAGATCAGACGATCCTCAATATATTGAATGTCTATCAAATATATCTTCGAACCTCCTCGCTTCTGTCTTTTGATTTCACTTGGTGGGTACGATTCATATTAGGTGTTACTGGTTAAAACATTTTCGAACTCAGAATACCTGTGGCATCTTCAATGATATGTTTGTTTCTGATGGAAAATTTTACCAATGTGAAGTACAAGTTCTAGGTGAATTCAAAACTAATTATATTTCGGATGATATCATACTAAACATCGTTTGTCCCCACAATTTAGTCACTACTAATCACCTCTAGTCAGTGAGAGAAATGTTCTAAATAAAACGACATTATTTGTACCCTGAGATATGAAGACCCGACATCATTTCGTGGGAGAGGATAGTGTTGGAAAGTCTATGTTGTGAATTCTAGATATCAATGATTTAAGTACACATAACTGACATGTTGATCATATACAATTACGGGGACCAAGTGAGTCTGTTCCAATTTCAGTTGTTAATTTTAACACTTATAAGCATATTCTAGATCATACAGAGTCTGTATCTAATGCACAGCCTGATGGACATACAATGAACCTAAGGAGACGTTCAATCGGTAACAGAAACTTAGATTCCATTTTAGGCTGGGCGGTTGTGGTATCTGAGTTCAATAACGATTCTTTTGTATTTGACTGTCTGCTGTTTACGAATTCCATGCATAATACATTCATTTGTGTTCATCTAGTTCTTTTCACCATAAACATAACCGTTTCGGAAATTCTTATTACATTGACAAGGATACTTTTAATTATCATACCACACTACTAGGTGCATTTAAATTAGCCTTACCGACTTGAATGTCAGACTACCCTTTTCATTCGATAACTTTACAGACCCTCAAAAAACATTACTTGGGAAATACAAAATACATATATACGAAGAGGTGGAATGGTAAGATCCGAAAAGATGACTACCTCGCCGCATGTGCTTGTAGCGTGGTGTCGAGTTTAGACTAACTATGAACACCGCTACCAAGAAACACGCGCCAAGTAAATCAGAAGGCGAAGGTTGAACGTAACCAAATAAATCCATAAAACCCCCGAGAAGCCAAATATCAGAAGACAATTAATGAACCAAATCGAGATATATTCGCTGGCGATCTCGTGGTATCGAAAGGATACCGAGATCGTGCCAGGATAGAAGCTTGGTTACAGAACGTAACCGAATTCGCGCGAAGTCACAATCAAAGTGTGTGAATAAGAATGGAAGCACAAAATAGCTGTCATTAGCACAGTCAAACAAAAGCACATTAAAACAAACACTGGTACAATTGGTTATAATAATAGTTGTTTTTATTAAACCAGTCGTGTTCTCGTAATAAATGTGAGTCACTACATCCTTATCCTATGATACCGAATGTTAATTAGTGATAGTTATCAGTAAGTTTGGATATTTATTAACAACCATTCGACGTTCACTTATCAAATTCACAATAAGGAACATGTTCAGATTGTGGAATCATTTTTCGATCGTTCAGTGCCAGTTCACTTACTCAGTATTAGTAGCATGGAAAACACTATGGTCTGTCTGGTCAGTATTTATGGATACTGAAGACCACCTAAAATTAAAAGCATATTACAGAAACGTCCAAAAATGTGGAGAGAATATGCTGGGTTTTTGTTAATGTCAAATTAAATATCCTTTTCGTAATGCATATTAGCTCACAAGGCATAAACAGAAGATGCAAATAGTACTGAGTTGATTATTCCTTACACTTTTTGACCAAAATTCGATCAACAATCAAACGATCGTTGCGGTGAACAAAACCCGAACTAAATATTTTTAAGTTTTCAGCACTGACACTGACGTCATCAGTTCGCGCAACACGCCCTGGTTGAAGGCGCTCACAAGTGAATAAGCTGTGCTACGCATCTCTTACAACTACTAGCTAGCTTAGATCAAAAGCTTCTCTACGACCTATCTGTATATATCTTCGAACTCAACATAATAACATTATGAAAACAAGTAAGGAGAGAAATTGCCATGGAACTCTAGGAAAGTGAAAGGAATCTTAAGACTAAGTCGATAATTACTTGTATGAAATTCTACAGGAGAATAGGGTAAAGGAAATAATAGTACAATATCATATTGTATCCCAGCACTATTAATTTTGTTATTTTACTATTCTGACGTAAAAAAATGACCCAATAAACTTTTGTACAACTAGAATCACTATGACTTATATAAATTTCATTTTCCTCAGCATAAACAGTTAGGCACAGTTACTGTAGGTTTAATTTTGTTTGAATTGTTGCTTTCAGCTGCCCTTGCGCCTGAGACAAATGCTGTTTTTCTTCGCTCTGTTTTGGACCTGTTTATTTATTGTTCACCAAACATCGAAAGCAGAATAGCAGATTTTATACTATTGAAAATTCATCCTTAAGTAGTCGCTCAACATCAGTAATTCGAGAAATACGTATCCAACCAAGTTAGCTGAAAATGAGCTTGACCTCCAGAATTACTGGTGGTACTGGCTCAGGCGTCAACCACAATGTTGCAAATCCAGCTCCTAAATTATCTGGAAATCTTCCTCCTACTCAAGATCCAGCTCCCGTGGTTAACCATTCAAGCTCCACACGATGTTCCAGTGGAGCCTTGATGAGTTTATTAAACAGTGGATTATCTGTTCCTCGTCAAATGATGGTTCAGGCCCGCGGTGCACAAGATAATCAACATATTCCTATACATTTGAGCTTTGTGGGGACTATTGGACAGGGGACATTTGGACAAATTGAGAGGGCTACTCTCACTGTCCCAGCAACATCTTCAGGCACACCAGGCAAAAAGAATCCCGATGCCGGTGCTTTTTCTGATGGAGGACAAAGTTTGCAAGTCGCCGTTAAGCGTGTCTTGCAGGACCCTCGCTACAAAAACCGTGAGCTGAGTATTATGCAACGCCTTAACAACCATCCTAATGTTGTGAAGTTCTACTACTACTATTACTCGACAGCGTCGTCAAATAGTCGGGGCCACAGGAGTGGTGGTGGACGTGCAGGCGCATCTACATCGGGTGTAGATGTGTTCTTACATCTTGTACTGGAATGTTTTCCCGAGAGCTTATGTGAACTCATCTACCGCTATTCACAAAGGAACCTGAAAATACCAGCTTGTACAGTGAAGGTTTTTACGTATCAGATGCTCAAGTCCCTGGCTTACTTACATAGCCATCAAATATGTCACCGTGATATCAAGTCGTCCAATTTACTAGTCAATGAAGATACTATGGTTTTGAAAGTGTGTGACTTTGGAAGTGCTAAAGAAATGGTGCCGGGAACTGCTAATGTATCTTATATATCCTCTCGGTAAGTTACCATATTCTTTGTTTGTCTTTGAATAATTTCTGCTACTAGTTCCTAATTAGTGTGTTTCTAGCGATAAGCCACTGTAACTACACTGTATTTTGTTACTATATTAAGCTAAGCTCATCTATATCTTGAGTTCTCGTTTCCTTTACTGTGCTCCATCAGGCGGAACTGAAGGGCTTGACAAATTGATTATCCAGTTATAGAAGTTAGCTGACATTTCAGATTTGGAATTGGACGTAATCCTATCAAACTGTTCTTTCAGTTTTTGCATAATGTCAGACTCAGCCACACTATCCATGAATAATATACATCTACGGTTGTTGTCCAATTCCCCTATTTATTGTGTAAACTTGGATAATAATACTCAATGTATAACCGTAAAGGATCTTAGTAACTAGTCGTTCAGTTTTAAACTTGCTTCATCCTTTTTGTCTAAGTCTTGAATGTCTTGCATTCTTACTTTCGACTTGATGCCTAAACGCCATCACACATCGTAGGCCAGTAATAATGGCTTCTTAGTAGTTAAACTGCCTTCCATCGGTCTGACAAGGTTAGGAACTGGAATCCTCTTTTAAAGTTATTTCTAAAATCAATTTGCGTCTTGAACGCTATTGATGAAGTTACGGCCAACCCCGGCTGGAAGAGATCTAATAAGCTTGTTGTTCTACTTGAGCATTGTTTAATAAACACTGCTCATTCATTTATCGTATGAAGTTTCTATCTCTCTACGGTGCTGTCATTTGGTTGCGGGGAGCACTCTTCATGCCCTATTTTACCAAACGATTTGTCCATAAAATAATTGTTCCACTTGTCGTATGTCTTCTGTTAGGTATCTCTGAAATTTTAATTACGGATCAAAACGATACAGTCCTCAGTTCCGACTTGGTGCCACGTCTACCCGAGTGACACATCAATGGTGTCACTCATCTATTAGGTCATTGCGTATTTTCATGGTCTTAGTAACTAGTAAACGATCACAGCCGATTTCTCTCCAAGGTCACTTTTCATAATCCCCATCATTCACACACAGTCGCTTGTTGTTCTGTATCCTCATTAACTGCGCTTATATGTGAAACGTTTCAGAATACCCATTATAAGATAAATAACATTTGAACCACTAGTTTGAGATATAGCCTTTACATCGTGATATCGATTTCTGATCAGTACATTGTAATAATCAATGATGTTTTCCATAATTGGGTCAATAACTAAACTCTGGTCTTACTTTCCGTTCGGCATCCTAAAAACGGACTGAAAAGGCCCATGTGTTAACCGCATATTTTACTGGAGAACTAAAGCTAACTACATGAAAGTAGGGGCAATAGGTAACTGCCTAGACTCATTAAGTTAACAATTATTACTCAATAATTCTATAGTAGGACTTTCTGACGAAAATGGATTGGTGATTCACTCCCACTTCACAATTTTGGAATGGTAACTGAAATACTCTAAGGATCAGGTCAACTGCTCAACAACTACTCTTCAATTACTTTCTATTTCCATACAACCTGAGTAAGAGATCAATCCAAGTCTGGTAGCTCTTACCAAGGTTTGAAGAGACTAAATCTAATTCGAAGTAATAGGAATCAACGGTCTGATAAATTGAAGTTTTTGAGGATGGTAATCCTGCTTTAGAAGTTGAGTTGCTTGGGATGTGAGCGTAATTCTAACCTACTGATCTTGATTGTTAATCATCATAGTTCTTAGAGAGGGCAAAAATTGTTGCGAAGACCGTATACGAATCAGTTTGTCTAATATATGAAATATTAGCCTCAGTAATTATTCAGTGGGTGAATAGAACCTAAGAATAGCAAACTTGAAAGAACCAGGTGGATTTATGATCTAATAGTAGATATATAGACTGGATCTATACTCTGTCAGGTTTTAAAGTAGTCATATCAACACCCAACTTTAATTGTTTCTCTCTACCCAAAGACAGCATTCGGTTCCATTATAATAACTACGTAAAACGTTTATTTGTGGAAATTATATTTGAAATAATCCCAGTGATTGGAATTTAAATGGTTCCAACGTTTCGTCCGACAACCTTGTCTGGACTTCAGGATAATAATCAAGATCAAAATTATCGAAGAATATATGTTTAACAATCAAATCAAATCTTTACTGTGCTTATCTAGTCATATCCTAATGTTGACTTTAATAAGTTGGATAATATGAGCCATGTGAACCATATGAAAAGTTCAGTGTGATGATAAATGAGTGATTGTGTATGCGTATGTATGAGTAAATTTGAGTTATCAATAGCTGATGTTAATTCGTTTTTAGATGAAGTAATTTGTCTGGAGTTTAAGTGACCAAACAAACATACCTCATTAGTCACTTGTAAGTTTATGTAGTTGAGTATACCAAATGTGTTTTTATAAGAGTGCCAGCTGGTTGCCAAATTTTTTTACTTGAAGAGGTTAGTCATTTATAATCAGCATAGTTTAGCACGAATATGAGGTTGCCATACAACATCAGTACGGCGATGTGAAGTTGGGAGAAAAAATAGCTCGAGCCCAAATAATAATGGTGTGTATGATATTAAGAATGATTAAACATTTGAGAATACGGCATATACTTGGAGAAAGGTCCATGATTCTCATCTAGTGACTGTGATTCGAAAAATTAAATTAACTCAGTAAAATTTGTGCTCAACTGGTTTCAATTAAACATGCGTTATGCAGTATTGATTTCAGTAATCCAATAATGTTTCGTTTTTCAAAATCCAAGTTAAATGTGTGCAAGTATCGAATTAATATTCCTTACCAAACGTCCAATTTAGGTCTAGCTATGTTGTTTGAAGACCATAATATTTTATGGCTGATTCAACCTTGATTAGTCATGCAAAACTAAAATCCAAAAATTCAAGTCAAACAGCCGCACAACCAACTTGTGTTTTGTGAGTGTAAAGCACATATCATTGATGGTCAAATTTCTGTTCATGGTTTCTCAAAAACCTTTTAATTCATTTTCTTATGCTCTATGTAAATCGACCAATATCTCTATACGAAATGAATTAAGCTCAAAAGCATTGTACTTTGTTAATCGATAAATGCCCCTTAGTTATTTAGAACAACCTTTAGATTCAAATAAAATATTTAGAAAGAAGCTCTGTCTAGTAAAGTTATTTAACTAAACAAGATGAGAAATCCTAATCTTCACTCGGTATTTACTGTTAACTTGGCAAATTAACGTGTTTGGTAAACTCAATCCTAAAGCTTTGGTTTTCGTCCACATATCCGTCTGCCAACTAATGGGCGAGTTTACTGCCCAGCAGCTCTCTCTGTCCTACTTCATGAATGTGAAACATGACCATCAAGGATAGAGGATATTCATGGGTTATTAGTGTTCGATCATAGGTGTCTTAGAAGCATTGTCCGTGTAGTTGGGGACCATCGGGTAAGGAATCCCTGGGTTAAGAATAGGGTGCTTGGTAAGGATGGGGAATCGATTGATGAGATAGTAAACTTTTATCGACTGAAGTGGTTGGGACATTTATGTACATATGCCCAACCATCACCTTGGGAGTTGGTTAGAAAGAAGCAAGGGGCATCCAAACAAACAATCCATGAAGTCATTGACAATTGGACTAAACCATGTTAATAGGTATAGATATTACTACCTGGTTAGAGTTCGCGTGATTATCGTAACAAGTGATTGGAGACTGAATGATATCGCTCAAAATCATTTTTAATGACGCAGTTCCACTCACTGCCCCCAGATTCTAAGCTTCTGAACCCCTCTTAATTTTTTTATTTCGCTTTTTTGTTTTCTTGAATTGTGTTTTCGATGCTTAGTTTATTCAGTTACCACTCATACTATTATTACCTCTATTGTTCTGGGATTCGGTCTAGCTGTGCTAATCGCGTATGGCAACTTGAACCAATGTACATACGTACGGGTTCTACGTTGTGACTGACCGATTTAGGTGTTTGTTATGTCAAACATTTTTTAGTTATCTTGAGAGGATTTTCACTACTTACAGATAGTCAGCTATTGAAACTAGTCCAAAAATAAATCGTTTGAATTCCTTATAAATTCCTTACAAATTTACCAGTCTTGTTAATTTCAATCAGTTTGTAATTCACTAATTGCATGTAAAATGTTCTTACAACGTTGTTAGGTTCACTACCTTACAATACCTATCTTTATCCAGTGTTCAATTGATGGTAACTTAAATGATATTTCTCTCCTTGTTATTGATGGTTTCAGTAACCAATACCAACAAGTTCCCCAAGCTCATATGTAATAAGCAATTATGGAAATTATCAAGACACTTATCTCCAGTCAAACGTGCTTGCACGTTTTATAATCTCAGCTTATCCAAACAATATTTTTTTATATCACGGCAATGAATTTTGTTTGGTTAGCATCTCTCAGTATGATGAAGATTAAAACATCACCAAACACCTCCCTAAACCGTTATCATTTATTATTTTCGTGCTGTTTTTTTTACTTATTTTTGATCGAAATAAGATTTATCTTGTCTACTTCGTAATTTGTACCGTACCCTCTAATGTTTCTGTTTCTGCTCTTAACGTGTAGATAAAATTTAATATCTCATTTTATCAAAACTATGTCATATCAATTGTGTGATACATCCCTCTGCTTTTCCACTTGTATATCGATGTTTATTACTATCTTCCTAGATATATAGTTAGGCTTGTTTATCTGAAATAGCACATCCATAGCTTGAAAATGTATAATGTTATTAAGTAGATCACGGTATCTGATTTGAGTGTAAATACGTATGCACTCAAAGACTGAATCCATCGAACCTATTAGTCAAAGCAAAATAGATGGATATGTAGCATTCGTAGTTTTTCTAAAGTATTTATTTCTTTGATAATGACCACGTATGAATGTTGTTCGGGTTGACGCATCAAACATGCCCAATAGTTCAGTTTTGTTGACAAATAAAATAATGTTTCTATCCTGACGTGAAATCTTCAATTCAGGAATACATAGTTTTAAAATGTTCAATAACTTGATTGGTTTATATATGTCCTTTTATTTGTCCTTTTTACAAATGCTTGTGCACCTAAGTATGTGCTATCAAAATTTTACTTCCTTTTTGTTTTATCTGATAAGTACTTTGAATGATTCTACCAGATATTGAATTATATGCATACTTATGTAGCATTGTGAAATCGATTTAGCAGTGATGTACTTTAAATAGGCCCTTTATTGTCTTTATCGTTCGTGTTTTATTGACTTCTTGGTGTTCTATTACTATATTTTCCGTATACATCAAAAGACTATTCAACTTGCTGAATACACACTTATAAGCACTTAAAGGTTTTTACTGTTTGTATCTTTTTAGGGGAACAAAATACTTAAAACATTTCTTTTGTAATGTTTACATATATATGCAAAACGACTGATTTATATTTATGATCCTTCAAAGCATTTTAGACGTTTGATCCAAACAAAATATATTATGTGATTGGAAATAGTCGATAGGGTTTCCTCCAACCACCTAACATCTCAAAATAGACCAAACAATATCGAATCACTTAAACTGGTAGACGCATGCGCCTTGATTAATAGCATTAAAGAACTGGACAAACATGAAGATTATCATTAACTTAGTGATCAATCTGTTGTAAATTAAGTGTATCTATGTTTTACTCTGGTTCTTACGGTTAATGACCCAGCTATTCCTATTGCTTAGTATTCTCGGACACCGATTCACTCGACAAGTCCCCAAATCAGAACACGGTTGAACAGGAAAAAGATTATATTCCAAATAGCAAGTCAGAAGCCAGTAGGAAGCACAATAGGGGAAAACGTCAGTATATTTATAGTTTTTACATAAGAAGAATCCAGAATATTCTCCAACTATCGACTAGCGCTGATTGGATAAGAATTAGCCAATCAGCGTGCACCAAAGCAATCATGCATTGAGCATGCTTTAGTCTAGTCTATGTCCCGCTAACACCTCCCCTCTGAGCAGATTCGTAGGATCTGGTGCTAGGGTCCAACTGCAACTGAGTGACTGGCTTGTGCTTTCGATTAGTCCATCGTCTAGGCAATGAAGAATTATCACTTTTTCCTTGCACAGAGACTGACATGTCTGTTCCCGGCGTTTTGATTTTTCTTAAAAAAAAGTATGCATAACTTTTAATTCTCCAACATTCTCCTCCTCCTCGAAATAATGTTGGGTCCTTATGGCTCCAAATTATAACTAGTAGGACTTTATTTAAACCATGTTTCTCGTATTGACTGGAGAATCCACTAAAAATGACTAGATGATGATGAACAACCTTTGATCTGAGTTCATTATTTTCAAATTCATTATGAATCTCGTTAGCTGATAACGATTCATTAAGAAAGTCAACGTCTAACAGAATTAGATTAGATTTTTGGCCATCATTCGACTCAGCTGACATATTTCCCTCATTGTTATAAGAAGGTTCATCAAAATCATATGCATTATTCTGAGAATCAATATCTGGTACACTGTCATTAGAAATGGGATAAGTTGACTCAATATAAAATTCTGTCTTCCGGCGATTTTGAGTAACATCTGGTACTATTTGGTTCATCGTGTTGCTCCAGTTATTTTTTGAATACGAGTCACCATAGCTTTCTCGACTAATAGCACGTGGACCACAATTTTGTTCGAGCTGACGTTTATTTTCGCAGCTAGACAGTACCAGTAGTGTTTCATTTGATTCTGGACTCCGGGCTTCATCTACAGGACCTGACTCCTGATCATCTGGTATTGTCACAACTTCATGTGCATTCAGCACAGTATTTTCTTGCTGTGAGCCGGACACGTTACAAATATTACGTTCTGATTCAGGTATAAAGGGATTTGAACCCTCCACTAGATATGCTTCTGAAATGTCTGTTACTGCATCATAAACAGATTTCTTATTTTCTGGTCGAGTGAAAAGTGTGTTCAATAGTTGTTGTTGCAAGGCTAACAACTTCTGCTGGTGCTGTAATATTAACCGCAACTGTTCTAAAGAAATCGCCATTTTTCTTTAGTTTTTCCCCGTCGCCACTGTTTTAATTCTGGTTCTTACGGTTAATGACCCAGCTATTCCTATTGCTTAGTATTCTCGGACACCGATTCACTCGACAAGTCCCCAAATCAGAACACGGTTGAACAGGAAAAAGATTATATTCCAAATAGCAAGTCAGAAGCCAGTAGGAAGCACAATAGGGGAAAACGTCAGTATATTTATAGTTTTTACATAAGAAGAATCCAGAATATTCTCCAACTATCGACTAGCGCTGATTGGATAAGAATTAGCCAATCAGCGTGCACCAAAGCAATCATGCATTGAGCATGCTTTAGTCTAGTCTATGTCCCGCTAACAATCTAAAACTTTGAATCTTCCACATCTAGAACCTCGACACTTCGATGATCGTAAACGCTAAATGCCGTGACTTATGGCAAATCATTATCTGTAGTACTCGTATTTATCCTCCCCTCTCAGATTCTAACACTCTGCTTGTTTCCGTGTTGACTTGCCAATTAAAGGACTCTACTCTTGATCACTGGGTAGCCTATTCGGTTATGGCGTCCTGTTAGTATCATTAGTTTTCACACTTAGATTTTGGTTCATATCCAAGTACCTGAAGAATGAATTAATCTAATCTGCAAAAACAGTCCTGCTCAATACTTATCCGATAATGAGTTTTTCTATATTGACTCGGTTGACGTGTTCATCTCGAAACACCGGTGTTTTTATCATTTTGTACAAACCTCCACAATAATTATTTGTCGATGCTGAAATACGTTGAAAAAAGTGAAGTAGTCAGCTTGTGACTTGGTTCTCTGGCATGAAAGAAACCCATATTGAACCAACATCTGTCAACCTATTACAACTACCCAGTGTAGGTCCTAGAAATCGTACAATTTGATGAGTCGAGATATTACCCGACATGGCTCAGACTAGAGTTCATTAATTATTCTACTGTAGACTTCTATCATATTCTGCATAAAAATGAGGTGATATTTAAATGAAAAATTCTCCATAAACTGTATTTAGACGAGTTGTTTAGAGACATCCTTGCACATGTGTTTGTGGATTGTACGACCTTCCCCTCTTTTCTGCACTATCTTATCACTTCACCTGCTGTCGCCTTTTTCGGTGCCCTGTTGTACCTTCGTTCGTGTGAGTCTTAGTTACAATACTAATTGCTATTTTCTTGCATGAAATTTTTACTAAATGACTCTATGTTTATATCCTTATTGTCGAATGTTTGTCCTATCGTTCAGGTATTATCGTGCTCCGGAGTTATTATTTGGAGCTCAATATTATTCTTGTGCGATTGATACTTGGAGTGGGGGGTGTGTACTGGCTGAAATGTTACGTCAGCATTGTTTGTTCATGGGAGCTGATTCAGTAGATCAACTGGTTAAAGTTATCCGCGTTTTAGGCACTCCTACTCCACAAGATATTGCCAGTATGAATCCAATGTATGGATCTTACAGTTTCCCAGATGTTCAATCTTGCCCTGTAAAACTGTTTTTCCCACAGCATACTCCAGCCGATTTGTTGTCTCTAATGAGCAAAATGCTTGTTTATAATCCATCACTAAGAATTTTACCATCTCAAGCTCTTTCCGAACCATGTTTTGACGAACTTCGTTCTATCGGTCCAAATGGAGTACTTTCGAACAGAGTTCGTATGCCTCCACATATCTTTGATCCTGATCCCGAACCTAATCCTCCTACATCAGTAACAGATGGAACAAATTTATCAGCATATAACAATTGGTTGCCAGAACATCATAAGCATGGCTCATCCAACAAGAAACCGACCACCAGTGTGGGTGATTTGCAAGGTTCCGATAAGAAAAACTGTAAACCACCATCGAATTCTCGAGAAATTCCTGCTGATTGGCAGCGAAAAGGTATGTTTTTAATGCAGATAAATAAACGTGTTTTAATCGTTTAATAGTTAATCAATGTTTGGTTTGAAAATACGTTTTTCTGGGAATACATTGTTTCTCGTAGTAATATTTATTTCGCCGTGTTGTATGAGACGTTACTTGTACCGATGCAAAAGTATTAGATTCTACGTTGGTGTTTATTTGTTCATGCATTTAAACACAAATGTTGGTACAAGGAGGTACCAAATATATATGCTCCACACAAATCAGATGATTTGTATAAGGGCTGGAATACTACCCGAGTGCCCAAACCGTAGCAGATGGTTTCCCCCGAACCCTTGACCTAGAGGTCTGATCCACAAGGCAGCAGAATATCGTCAGGAGATGCAGTCCCATAGTAGCCGGTGACCAACAATAGGTTCATACTCCATCTGTCCCTATGTTCATCATTAGTTTGGAATTATGGTTTCCCAACTCCCATAGGTGGATCCTTCAATATTCGCCAGCCCGGTTAAAGCTCCGGATATTCGCTTTTCGTCCTCTCAATTTCGTAAACACCACTCGCGAGTAGGCAGTGAGTAAGACATCCATGTCAGTGGTTATATACGCTTGGCCATGTGAGAGCATTCAGAAAGAGAGGACTCTCCCCACCCTCGATCATACCAGGGCATTTGAGAGCTGTTGAGTATATGAAAGCATTTATTTATTTATTTGGACACATAAATATTGGTACAAGAGGGCACCAAATATATATGCGCCACACAAACAATGAGAATGGGGAGAGAAACAAAGAAGGTAAGGAGTGTGAAAGTAAAAAAAAGAAGAATGACGACCAGATTAGTGTAAGGTAGTGTAACAATAATAATAATAATAGTAATGGGGTAAACGGAAAAGTACAATTAGAAGAAATCTTTCAGTTAAGGAAGAAACAACCATTTTTTATGAAAAAAGTAAAAGAAGGTTACAGCAGGATCACCACTGGCTTCTATTCTGAGCCATATCTGATAACGTCTCTAGCCACTGTGTTGCACCATCTCTCTGACCCCAACCAGGGGGTCATGAAGGACCAACAAAAGACAACCCTTTGCAGTTTTCTTTCATACTACGACACCGTGTCATACACTAACCACCTCTCCGCTTCTTCTAACCAGTCCCAGAGTCGGCAAATAATGCACGACGTGGAATTCTTTGGGACGACATTCGTAGAACATGTTCAAGCCACCGAAGTCGATGCTTCAAGATGGTGACACCAATTGGATTATCGTCTGTGCGCCCGAACACGATGCCGAACCTCTGTATTACTAACATGGTGTTGCCACTGGATGTCAACAATCCTTCGGAGACAAGGATTATCAAACCTAGAGAGTCGTCTAACATCCTCAACTCGGAGAGGCCAGGTTTCACAAGCATAGAGCGAAACTGCTATCACCGACGCGTTGTAGATCCGACCTTTTACAGCCAGACTAACATCACGAAGGCGCCAAGGATGGCCCGGATTGGCATAAGCCGCTCTGGCTTTCACTATACGTGCATTAATCTCATCACTCACACCCCCACCAGCACTTATGCAGCTACCCAGATACACGAACTTCTCGGTTACTTCTATTTGCTCACCATCCAGGGTGAGTACAGGATTAGAATCCTGCCAGTCTTGTAGAAGTACTTTGCACTTCGAAGGTGCAAAGCACATACCGTACCTACGGACACTGATTGCCAACTGATTAAGTGCGGATTGCATGCCTTGGGCATTATCGCACAGTAAGACAATATCGTCCGCATACTCAAGGTCGAGAAGTCTTTCTCCAGGCAACAGATCCACACCACCATTACTTACATCCATCAGAGCTGTTTCCAGAATGTCATCGATGGCAAAATTGGAGAGGAATGGTGAGATTGGACAAGCCTGTCTAACCCCACTTCTTGAATGGAACAATGGAGAGAGGTGGTTGTATGCCCTCACTCTACCCATATGAAAGAAACACTTAATTCATTGAATGATAAGGCACCATGATGTATCAAAGCAGTACATCAACCTTGTATCGACTACTCGAACACTACTGGTCGGGTTAGAACTTAAGCTGACATGTTATCAGAATTGTCAAGGTTGTCCACTTTCTCCATTTTTACCTAGTTTCGTCATAGACATTCTCCTAGAGATAAGGCCCTCATCGTCTGACGTTTTAAGCGTTGGCCTAGGGATCCACTTATCGACTTGAAATACACAGACGGCACAGTCCTGTCCTATTTATTGATTCACTCATTCACCACGTACTTGGGTATGAGCTGATTTTATTATCTGGTTGCTTAAACCAAAGTTGGTCAAGCTAAATACGAACCTAGTACTTAGTAGCTGGAAGTCTAATGACTTAACCATGAAGTCACTATCTAAACGACTAACGAGAAGTATTTTCGTATTCATATAAATCGTATCTCATAATTCTAGGTTTTTTTGTTTATTATTTAGGTCGAGCTATCGGATCTAATAATTCTTCGGAAAAATGTGGGTCAGTTATTGCTGGTCCCGGTGGTGGTAGTCATCCAAACCTGGAATCAAAATCTGACGAATTAACCGGGAACACTAATGGTGTAAATAATGATGCTTCGAGTAGACAACAACAACAACACAATCGAACTAATAATGAGAATAATCTTAAAAGTCCAATCGATACAACAAAAGCCGGGACGGCGACAACAGTTGATGTTGGTCATACAAGTCAAATAGAAAATCCCGATGTCTGTTGCAATGATAATGAAAACAATATTAATAATAATAGCATTACTACAAATGTACACTTAAAATCATTTGTGCCTCCTACTCATCCCAACTCTTCTGAACAACGGACAAATTTAAGTGAAGTACACTAGATAGATAGATAGATCGAGATAAACATTTGCACAAAAATCCACATTACAGAATTCATAGTGTAATTATTTCTTGTCATTTGATATATCCTGCACACTGAGTCATTTCATTGACGACCACCCTCAACATTAGCGTCACTTGGTTATCTTTCTGTTAACTAACAAATTATTTCTTGTGAGGATAGTAGTACTTCGTAAATAAACAATCACCTTTTCTCTCTCCCTGTCTGCGCCCAATTACTCGTCGAATTACTTTGATTTCTTCGTGTATATGTGTGTATGTATGTCTAGAAAAAGCCCACAATAAAGGAAACCAACTAAATTACACCATACTCTTTTGTTGTTATTGTCGTTTAATATTGAACAAAGTTAATCCTGTTTCTCTCTCTGTCTCTCTTTATTACAAAACACCTACGGTGACATGGTTATCATCTGTTATCTTCCCGACTGTTAGTTTTTCTTCCAAAATAATGGATATTACAATCCACATATTTTTTGTTTATCAATTAATGTAGGTAGTTGAGTGTAGACAACAAAATGTCGAATGGTATTGTGTTGTATGCATTGTTTATTGTTTCAAAACTGTAGAACCTTTCTCTTCCATCATTTTCTTCTCACTTCTTTTTCTGACTAATATGATTCCAAGTAATAAGTTTACCTCATAGGAACAATCTCTCCTGGGTTTTTTCCTCCCGTTTGTCTGTGTTTATTTTTACAATTAGAATTAGTTATGTTATATAACATTATTCTGTATTTTCGTAACTACTTTAACAACCCATTAATTAATATGTAAATATATATACATATATGTGTTCATTCAGTTCACGACTTCTTTCTTGATTGTTTTTCATTTGTTACACTGTGTTCTGAGGTCCCTTTCTTCCATTCTACAATCTGTCCATTTTTTTTTCTCTTACTTTATCCCATCTCTTATTTCATTATTATTCAGAATCATTTCTCTAGGTGTATGTTATTTATTCATCTCACTTCGTTGTGTTTTAGTTCTCTTCAAAGGAGAGAAAAGAAAAAGAAGAAAGAAATAGGCTTATAGAGTGGTAGTAAAATATTTTTTAAAATTTTAGATCTTGGTTGCTGTCTATCTACCAGTTCCATTTTTATGAATAGAATATTTCATGTCAATATAATAATAAGTAAAACCTTATACATTTCTTGATCTGATTAGTTACAGTTTTATAAATGTTAGGCAATTACATGTTGATCTTCTTTCATATTAAATATATTCTCATATTGTAATCAAACCTTATTCGATATAAATTGGGGGGGGGTCGGAAAAGAGAAAAGAAAGATAATTGATTAATTGATTGATCGATCGATTATGTCGCAATATTTGTACTTCACTTTTTACAATGATGTGAATGTGAATTTCTGGATATTTATTTTGCATGTTCTATACAGAAGTATCTATGTGTGTAAAGGTGATTGTTTTGTGATTTTTTTCTATTTCCTATATCTTCTTTACTGCCTATTTATTCATTTTATAGACACAAACACACACACACACAGACTTGTATGTAACCATTTCACTGTTCTTTTTTTTATTAAAAAGAATTCTATTCAATTAAATTATCTGATTTTTCATCGTCCTTTTTTTGCCCGTTAACAAAAAGTTGTATTTGAGTTCTTTTGTTTGTTTGTTTGTTTGTTTTTTGTAAAATGGAGTTAGGATAGATTATGGGATTGTTTTTGGACTGTTTTGTAATTCAACAAAATACCATACCAACTAAACATATAGTTGAAAGAGAAAAATAGAATTTCTTTTGTATAACAAACAACACAATGAATTGTGTTGTGTATATGTCTTGGCTATAGATTAGAATTGTTTGTTATTGTTATCGTTTGAACTTTTCTTTTGGTTGCTGTGCATCTTATCAGCATTTTTTTTCTTTCGTTGTTATTGCCTTAATTGGTTTATTTTATTTCTTGAGATATTTCTGATTCACTAAACTGGTATGCGTATGTACACACAATGATGTAGTATGTAGGCAACGTTTCTATTGTCCATGTCGTGATAGTGTTTAGTTCTCTTATGGATGTGTATGTCTGTTTACATTATCTATGTTGAAGAGTTTTGTTAAATTTAATGAATATGAAGTTGATAGGGTAATTTCTTCTTTTTTTTCTTTTTTGAGAATAGTTTTATATATGTGTAGGAACGATTTGTTGTTTGTAGGTTTTTTCTTTCTATTCCCTTTCATGTACTTCTGTTTCACATGTAGTATAAACGTTTTTTTTATTTTCTCTTTCACTTTACTAACTTGTGTTTTATGACTTTCTAACTGTTGGTCTTTATGGAGATTCTTAATGCTTGTATTATTATTCAGTCTAATTACTGATATATATGTACTTGTAAAATGTACAAGATTATTTGTTTTGTTTTATTCATGTATTTCCTTTATTCTCTCTTGATCTTCTGACAAAAAACGAATACATACATAGATTAATATGAACACATACTTGTCTTTATATTTGGTCTAAGTATCATATCTATTTATGATTATTATAATAATGTCAAGTTGATATCTCAAATATGAACAATGTTCTTTATCTTCCATTGTGTTAAGTTCTCAGGAGTATTTCATTGTATGTTTGTATGTGTTCATTTATTTTACATGAGTAAAAATAGTTCAGTATCTTCCTTCTTCTTCTTCACTAGATGATTGAATTTCTTTTACATCATTAATGTCATTTTCTGATCATATTTTGTATGTGTACATCTAAATAAGAGTAAAATTAATCGACTACCTTTTCTTCTTCTTCCTCTTCTTGTAATCATCATTTGTTTGATTCCCTTCTATTTGTCTTTATATGTTCTATTCTGAAATATATATAAAGTAAGTAAATAATGTTTGTCTTATAGTACATTAGTTTTATTGTATGTTATCAGTTTGTTTATTTGTTTGTTTGTTTTTCTTTTCATTCTTCTTGTATCGCTCAATTGTTTAGAAACATTGAATAATTTAAGCGTAATATACCTCTCTCTCACACACACAAATATACACTCTCTACCTACCTATCTATCTATCTGTCACTTTCTCACTATATATTGTCAAAGAAGTTATTTTGACCATTCATTTGTTTATAATAAACGATATACATATATATATATATGCCTAACTAGTAAAACATCAACTATGCATTCTATAATGATAGACAAGATTTCGTGAAATATCATTACAATTGATAGTACTATTTGTATATCTGAATATACAATAAGAATAATAGATCATCAATCAATCAATCAATCAATCAGTTATTGCTTTCAATAAAGTTTCCTACTTTATAATTTGTATGTCATAGATATACGTTTTATCTAAGGGATATATATCTATATATATAATGTTATCATTATTCTAAAGGATTTAATGATCGATTAGTATGTTATGTGTTTATCTACATGAATAGTAAACATTCATAAAGAAGTACTAGATTGATTATATATACTGATGTATAGTTCATATTGTAAATAATCCTAATAATATAGATATAGATATGGACATTTATGTCTCATTTTTAAATGATCAGAGCATTTATTAGTTTAATCTGATCTACTGAACATAATTTTCATTGATTAATAGTTTTAGTTATAAGTAATGTAGAACTTGATATTAATGTACATTGACTTAAATTAATATATGAACACTATGTCAAACAATTTTATACAACCTCTCCTAACTTGACAAAAAAAAAGAAAAAGGAAATACCCTAGTAGAATAACATGAATTCGTTTATTTCGTTGATTCTCTTTAACTGTTTACAAATTCCAAATGCCTTGGTACGGTCGAGAGTTGGACAAGTTAGCTCTTATATGGACACGCGTATACAGCTACTGATAGTGAAGTCCTACTCACTGCGTACTCGTGGCAGGGTTGTTGTTTACGAAATTGAAGGGACGAAAAGCGAATGTCCGGCGCTTTGACCAGGTTGGTTGATATAGAGGAACCACCTAGGGGAGTTGGAAAACCCTGATTCCAAACCAATGATGCACTTGGGCTCCAGGATTTTGAGGGAACATATGGGGTATGAACTAATCGTTGGTGGCCGGCTACCATGGGATTGCATCTTTTTACGATGCCCCACTGCCTTATGAATCGGACCTCCGGGTGTGTCTCTAAGAAAACCATCTACTTCGGATGTGGTACCCAGGCTGTATCACAGTCCACACACAAATCAAGTGACTTGTTTGGCGTATATGTATTCGGTGCCCATTTGTGTTCAAATAAATCATTAAAACAAATATACATACTTTATATCAGAAACATCTAGGATAAATTGATTTAAAATATGGAGATAGAATAATATTAAAAGACCATAGTACAGGAGAACTAGGATTGTATAAGCGTTCCCTTATTTATAGGTTAAGTATATGAATATTCTAGCAGAGTATGGAAATAAAAAAAGACTTCGCGAGACAGAAGATAGATTATACACTATAATCTGGTTGATTAAAGCTTATATGAAAATAGAAGACAAAGTCTTTTATTATTGATCACGAAAAATAAGGTCATCAGAGTAGAACAGAACTGTTCCCACTTTGAATATACATAAATCCGGTTTAAATCTTTTTAATGCAACAGATATGACAAAGTGTTTGTTTATTATTTTAAATGATTTCGCAACTTCAACAACATGTATGTCATCGAGCAATTGCACTATTGAAAACCTTGTGTCCGTTTAGCATCAGTTTTTGTGGAGTACGTTCGGAGATGCGGATACAAACCTTCCTTTCTGTTCTACTGATGTATGAGCTTTCTCACGTACCTGTAAACTGCTAAATACAATTAGGGGTAATATAAAGCGGATATCTCTCCACATTTGATTGTCTCAATGAGCATATGCTTTAGTATAGAGACACCAACTTCGTCGCTGAATACATTCTTTTTAGTATTACCTTTAGTCTAAAATTAATCCTCCCACCGCCTTTGAAACCAAGTTTTAAGAAGGAAGGCTTTTTTGCAATCGTAGGATATTTCATTCCCTTCTTC